TCATATTTTAAATAAAATTATATAAAAAAATAAATTAAAAAATTATTTGAATGTTTCCATAAAAAATGGCAAAGAAAATAAATAATCTTAAATTTTGAAAGCAAAAAAAATCAGAAATGAAAAATTGAAAAAATTATTTTTTTTCATTGCCACACACTACATGAAAAAAAAGGATTATTTTTTCATAAAGCGGCACAAAATCAATAAAAATAAAAAATAAAAAATAAAATTGCTGAAAAATATAAAAGAAAAAAAAACCTCTGCAAGCTCGGTTGGCTTGGGTTGGTTACATTAAAAAAAAAAAAGGGAGTAAACAATGCGGTGAACTTGAACACGCTAGAAAGCTTGCCAAAAACTGATTTTTGGATTTTTCTGACCAAAAACTCAACTTGTGCATCATTTTTACTCCAAAACACTTTAAAAAACACTAAAATGACACCAACAGAAAATATGTTTGGAATCTTAAAATGATTATAATACACATAAAAAATCAAATCAAATTTAAGAACTCATAATATTTTGAAGTCTCGATTTACCTCATTCGATCATTTTATATTTTAAAAACATAATAAACAATCTCAATTCTCTAAGATAAATAAATTAAATGGAATATCGCTGGTCAAAATAGTTGGAATAAGTTTGGTTAATGTTTCTTCTCTCTTTTATTCTCTTTTTCCGTATCAAGGGATCCGAATGTGACGTAAATGAAATTGAAAATGAAAATAAAAATAAATCTTTCAAAAACATGCGAACAAAGAGTAACATTTAGCAAACTTCACATACAAATGGTTGAAGATAGCCTAAAAATCACCAAAAAGTGATCTAAATAGTAAAAACTCCAAAGTTTTTATTGTTTTTTTAATAATATCCTTGCTTTATTTTCTTTGTCTGTGACTTTGTTTTCTTCTAGAGTTCTAACCTAACACAGACAGATTATTTACCAGATTCTTTATAAAGCAAGTCAGCAAACGGTCACCCACCCTAACAACCTTGTATCTTTATATCCTTGTCCTTTTTTTCCGAATCCTAGTAATTCCAAAAACAGGTTCCATGGCAGCACAAAGTATCTAATCCAAGCCTTTTAATTAGTTGATATTTCCCTGAAAAAAGGGTGTGACAAGTAAAGATGAATCAAGTCATTATGTGGCATGCGCATGCAAGATCATAGGGCAGGCAAAAAGACATGGCAATTTATGCCCATAATTTCTTCCCCTGCTCGATCGATGGATTAATTGCATGCTGTGTCCCTTCTGTCTGGTATCTGTTTCAGTAATTAATTTGTCTGTTAACTAATGTTTCATTACACATATACTAATATCTATCTATCTATGTATTAAAACTCAAGCTTCAACATTTTTTTTTATGCTTTTAGGAATTTATTTAAATTTTGAAGGTGGCAAATGTGATTTTTTTTTTCAATTTTATGCATTAGGATTTGCATAAAATTTCACAATTATTATTCTTAAACACAAAAAATTATAATAAAACTTTAATATGAAGAAAACTGTTTTATAATACAAATTGGTCACTATATGTATTATCTCTGCTTATTACTTATGTTTTCTTAACACCACATACAATTTTTTTAATTTCTTTTATTTCATTATTTTTCTTTATAAATATTATTGATACTCGGTTTAATACAATACTCTTTTTTATGCCTACTAAGTTATATTTTAAATTCATATTTAATTTTTTTTATTATGTATGAATCAAACTTTTCAGTATTATCCACACAAGACGTGGGATGATCGTCTTGTTTTCCTTAAAAAAAGAAACCCATTTTTGGAAAAGAAGAAGAAATCGATGGAAAGTTGATATCTTACTCTTTTTTTCCCCCATCACAGTATCTTATTAAAGAAGACACCGATCCGATTGGACGATCTATACACTTAATTGGGTCAAGGTCAAGTTCTTTGCTGACATTAGACTATATGCGCACTCTAACATTGTTCCTATTTTTTTTCTTCCCCATATATAGAACTATATATCAATTCCATAATCATTGGTTACATAATAGATTAATAGTTAATAGAAACAGAAGAGTCTAATTATTAAGATATGGATTAAATTGACCAGCATTATAACAATAAAAAATAATCCAATTGCATGTGTTCCTAATTTTTAATTGAGTATAATTATAAATTATATTATGTGATTCAAAAATTAATTTAATTATAATCAACAAAAATTATATAAGATTATTTGAAAATCAAACATTTTTATTTAATAAACATTCAAATTTATTAATTTATAAATAATTTTAAACAATCTATTAAAAAATAGAAAAAAAAACTATTAACTAGTTAAATAATACATGCGAAACGCACGAGCCACAAAGAATTTGACTCTTATAACTTAAGGGACACTCTAGTAAATCAAAAGATTTTTGCTTTTGTTCCTTTTTAATATTATTACTTTGATGTCATTAATGTTTCAAAATGTGGATTCCCACCAACTTATCTATGCATCTTTTTATTTTTATTTTTTTAAGTATAATTTTGAATCCTTTGGCAACATAGTAACTTGTTGACCCAGTATTTCAAAGACAGTAGAAGCAGATCTCAAGTAAGTTATGTATAAAATAAAGTCATGAGTACAAATCTCAAAATCTTATCGACCCAGCAATCCCATTCTTGTCCTCCAATCAATGAACTTAACATGCTATATAATCAAAACCAGCTTAAAAATTAATTTAAAAAAAAAAACATTTGAGTCGTTTACAGTCAAACAAAATAAAATTCCTTCGTAACCATTTTTTCTGTCATTCCCTTACAGCTCACGAGCACCTAGTTTTTTTTTTTTTTTTTAAAAAAAAAGCGACTAATTATTACAAAAATCCACTTTTCATTATGGTATAATACTATGCCAAATGTCTAACATTGATTGGAAGCTATAGCTAGCCGGCCACCCTGTCATCAAATCCAAGGCCAAGGAGGGACATCATGCGGAAGGTGGTTCAGCTCTATTACTTCCCAGTGGAACCCACTTAACCTTTCCGTAACCCTTCCTTACCCAATGACCATTTGCCACATCACCAACAAAGGCACGTGACCAAACTTTAGATAATAACTCATCAAACTTTTCCCAGCGTGGCATCCATGCATTGGTCGATTCAGTTAACCGAATACAAATAAATTATTTAACCTGCGTGCTGCATAGATACTCTGAAAGGATACGCTGCATCGGAAAGTTTTCAATACTCAAAAGTTTCGCCTACAATTCTACAATTTTTTTTTTCGTCGTTCAGAATTTTATGACTACTTATTCCATCCCACCGTAGCAACTAGCAACCTGTAATTACTTAAAAAAAAAACGTACGCAAGAATTTTCAATACAATACTAGATAAAAAAAAAAGGTTAAATTAGTCCAGTCAATATATCACATATAAATTTCATAATGATAAATATAAAATCTCTTTATTCATATATAAACTCACTAGTATTTTTCAAGTATTAAAATCTTGAAGTGCTGGTTTAACTTATAAATGGGTCGGCTATTTTCTTAGATTTGAGTCCAGAGAAAGGTTAAAAAAAATATATATTTTTTTATTTTGCTAAATGAATTAGTTTGTGCGAAGAAGATTGAATTACACAAGTAATTAATCTTGATATGTGAAAATTAATTCTAAAATATCTTTATAGTTAAAAAAATAAAAATAAGGTTAAAGTCATACTTGCAATCTATGTTTTAACTAATTTGGCAGAAAAACTCATTTGTTTTTAATTTGATTAATTGAGTATTTATATTTTTAATTTTAATCAATTGAATACAATTTGTATAAATTGAAAAGGAAACTATCAAATAGAAAGGATGTAACGAGTGATGATTTTATATATATATATATATAAGAATGGAAGAAAAGTTAACAATAATGAATCATATAGTGAAGAAAAATATTCAATTAGTTAAATTAAATTTTAAATTCTAAAAAATTATACTCAATTGACTTAAATAGAAAATACAAATGCCAAATTAATTAATAAGTTTTTTTTTTTGACAAATAGGTGAAAATACATAGTACCAATAATAGATATAATAAATTAAAAAAAAACTTTTAGATTATAAAACCATTTTTAAAGACTAATAATTATTTGATAATGTATCATAATCGTATAATCTTAATAACTAACATTTATAATCTTGATTTTTTTAACATTAGATAGTAATAAATTTATACAAATTTTAAATTTAAAAAATTTTCATAGAAAGCATTAAATTATAAAATTAATATTGAAGTTTCACTTAAGTGATTATTGAAATGATTATTTGAGAAAAAAAATCTTAATGTTAGTGTACGAAAAAAATCGATCAAGAATATTTCAAAAAAAAAGAAAAAAGAAAAAGAATATTCGATACTCTTAATATCTGCACAGACCAGGTGTGTGTCTCTCTGTCAATCTTCTCTACAAGGGAGTCAAAGACAGTAGGACCTGAACGGGATATAGAGATACTAGAAAGCAGTACAAATAGCAACAAAACAGATCCACTATCTCTTTCTAGGCATTCTTTTTACAAAATCCTAACGATCAATCCAGTTAAAGAAATTAATATATATATATATATATATATATATATATATCAACCAAGAAAAAGAAAAAGAAAAAGAAAAAAAAGATAGTTATTATATTTTCGTGTGCAATAATATATTATTAGCCTATGCTTTTGCCCTTTTTGTGCAGCACAGCAGCAGCAGCAGGAGGAGGAGCAGGAGGAGCTCATATTTTTTGACTGTGGTGTGCCCAGCTCCAAATCATTACTTCCCCTTTCCTTTTGTCTCAAAAAAGCTACTTCTTCTCTTTCTCTTTCTCTTTCTCTTTCTCTCTCCCTTATTAACTTCACTACCTTCACATTCCTCTTTTTAGCGAAAAAAAAAAAACAGAGAGAGAGAGAGAGAAGATTGATTGATAGTTAGGGTTCTTGAGTGATTGTTGCCGAAAATGTGTGTGGGAAAGGAGGAGGGATTGTAGATTGTAATGAGGAAGAAGAGTAACAACAAATGGGGTGTGTGTTTGGGAAAGAGTTGAATGCGAGGAAATCTGAGGCGGGGAGAGAGGATGGTGGTGAGCGGAGGAGAGAAGTGGAAGTTAGGGTTGCGAGGGCGGAGGAGAACGAGGTTAGGAATGGAGATAATAAGAAGGAAAAGAATAGTGAAGTGGTGGAGGAAAGACGGCCAAGAGAAAAAAGGAATAGGTCTTCAAAACCTAATCCAAGGTTAAGTAATCCTCCTAAGCATTTACACGGTGAACAGGTTGCTGCTGGTTGGCCTTCTTGGCTTTCTGCTGTTGCTGGTGAAGCTATCAATGGTTGGACCCCTCGTCGCGCTGATACTTTTGAGAAACTTGATAAGGTGTACATGCTATTGTCGTTGTCAAGTCAGTTAATGTTAATAACTATGTGCTCTGTTTCGTGTTACTGTTTGATTTCTCAAGTTGTTGCTTAATGTTTCTATAATTAGACAGTATGTAATTAGGTTTTTTTAGTAGTCTGGAGCTTAGTTGATGAAATGGGGTTTTTGTTACATGGGATTTTGAGGATTTAAGAAAGAGAATAAGTTGAGTTATTGATTTTTAAGTATTGCCTTGCGTTGCTTTTTAGGGTGAGGGTGGAGTATGATCTTGTAATTAATTTGTTGCTGCTGCTGTTGTTATTGTCAGATTGGGCAAGGTACATATAGTAATGTGTACAAAGCTAGGGATACATTGACGGGGAAAATTGTTGCATTGAAGAAGGTGCGATTTGACAATTTGGAGCCCGAGAGTGTAAAGTTCATGGCTAGGGAGATTTTGATCTTGCGTCGATTGGATCATCCCAATGTTGTAAAACTAGAAGGTTTGGTGACATCAAGGATGTCTTGTAGTTTGTATCTTGTATTTGAGTACATGGTGCATGATTTAGCTGGACTTGCAGCAAGCCCTAATATCAAGTTCACTGAACCTCAGGTGGTAAATTTGTTATTCTGTTAGTTCTTGTTGCAAGTGTGATTTGATCTTTGTGGATTTTATCTTATATGTAAGGATATGGCAGGTCAAATGTTACATGCATCAGCTGTTATCTGGCCTTGAACATTGTCACAATCGCTGCGTCCTCCATCGCGATATTAAGGGCTCAAATCTTCTTATTGGCAATGATGGAGTGCTCAGAATTGCTGATTTTGGACTGGCTTCCTTTTTTGATCCTAATCACAAGCAGCCTATGACTAGCAGGGTGGTTACCTTATGGTATCGACCGCCAGAACTCCTTCTTGGGGCCACTGATTATGGTGTTGGTGTGGACCTCTGGAGTGCTGGTTGCATTCTTGCTGAGTTATTGGCTGGAAAGCCTATCATGCCTGGTCGCACTGAGGTACTTTTGTTGATTTATTCAGTTTCATCCACCATCATATTCTTACTTCTCCCAGAGATGCTTCATTTAGGCTGTTCAATGTTGCAGGATGTTGATTATTTCTTTTGTATTGTTTCTTCCATTATATTTCTAATCATATGTTTTGTTTGTTTGCTTATGTTACTGGTTTCACTGACCAAGAAATTGAATACTTTAGTGGTTTGTTGGAAATGATCTAATGACATGACAGAAATGCTTTTATTGTTGTTCATGCAACAGATTTCTCCTTGTGTACTGATATTAATTTTATCATTGCATACTAGTTTGGGATTGAGGCTTGGTTGTTGTTGTTGTATAGGTGGAGCAACTACACAAGATATTTAAATTATGTGGCTCTCCATCCGAAGAGTATTGGAAAAAGTCAAAGTTGCCACATGCAACCATATTTAAGCCCCAACAATCATACAAAAGATGTATAGCTGATACGTTTAAAGACTTTCCACCATCATCACTGCCTCTAATTGAGAATCTCCTTGCAATTGACCCGGCTGAACGTCGAACTGCTACTGCTGCATTGAGGAGTGAAGTGAGTCTTTCATTCTATAAAAAATTACTTTTTATCCTCTCTTCAACAGCTGATTCTTCTGTTATATTCTATTCTTAAGCGTATGAACTAGGACACTTGCTTGAAAATGTGCTGCTTTTGGTGGCTTTTTCTCTGAGACATGCTGCACTTTGTAAGCTACTTGCAGTTTACTATTTCTCAGGATTGTCTTTGAGCTCTTCAATATTTTTTTGGAATTTGCTTTGTTGACATGATTTTAGCACAATCAAGGAAAATGAGCAGGATTTTGGGTGTTCAGTTTTAGCCTTTTCTTTGTTTGATAGGATTTTTCTGCTTTACATTAGTTGGACTTGGGCAGAACTTGAACCAAGCTCCCATGTCCTCCTAGCTCAAACGTCAACTGCTCAACCCTGAGTTCTATGGATTTGAACATCCCTAGGAGGATTATTTGATTCCCTATAGCACACTTGACTTCTGCCAATCATATCTAGTATTACTGCAGATAGGATTGGATCGCTTATTGATAATTAACACACTTGAAGGCCCATAATTGTTGTCGAACCTCTTGATTCGCCTCTCTTTATCATCTTTTGTTGAAAATGTTTCTCTGCATAATTGTTAAAAGATGATATGGTTACGTCACTGCAATGTTTTCTCTGAAATCAAAGGGAGATTGACAATTGTAGATTGACATTTGTTTAGGCTTGTTAGTTCAGGAGTGGTGTGAGCAACTCCTGTTCAAGCATGGCCTTGTAAATTGATGAAGCAGCTTGAATGAGCTTATGAGCCAGCCCACCACGAGCTGATTAAGTTGGGTTTTATGAGTTTTAGTTAGAATGGGCTGCATTCGTAGGCTAAGCTCTGCTATTTATAGAAATTATGGTTTTTTAATCCAAAACTGAACCAAGCAGTTTTCAGTTAATATATTCAAGCTTCTTTCTTTCTGACTTTTGTGGTTTTCTGTCATTGTGATTGGTTGTTGTTTTGTCTTGCAGTTCTTCACCACAAAGCCTTATGCTTGTGATCCTTCCAGTCTTCCAAAATATCCTCCAAGCAAGGAAATGGATGCTAAACTACGCGATGAAGAAAGTAGAAGGTGGCTTGACTTCGATATGCTCGATCTTAATATTTGTTTTGGTCAATTATGTTGTAGATTTTTTTCTCTAGAAGTACATGGCTTCAAACTCTGACTGGTATTTTTATCATACTACAAAAACTTGAAGACAAATTGCAGAAAACATCATGTAGGAAAAGAAAGGACATTGTTGTCTTGCTCTTCCATAAACTAAAGATTACTTGTTAGCCATTTTCTCGTACAATACTCAAATTTTAGAATACATCATGTCAATAATTCTTTCTTCTTCCCTGTTATGCTCCTTTTATCCTTCAATGCATGAAACAATGCATATTTAGTTCTATTATTTCCCTGCCCCCTTCTACATTTTCCTTTTTCCCTCTACCTCTTAATGTAATATGTAAAAATCTTCATAGCTGCAGATTGAGAGCAGCTGGAAAGGCTAGTGTGGATGGTGTGAAGAAGACACGCTCACGTGACCGGGTTGCAAGGGCAATTCCTGCTCCTGAAGCTAATGCTGAGCTTCAAGCTAATCTTGATGTAAGTCAGATTAGCTGCTTTCTTCATGGCCCTTTCTCATGTTTATGTGTTTCCACTGCATTATAAATTAACATGCTCCATGTATTGGCAAGGAAAAAAAAATCAGCTATCTTTTACATCAGAGGCAATTTCAGTTATTTAGACCTTGAAAGGAAAAGGAATGAATTAATTTCTCCTGGTTGCACATATTCTGTATTGTCTAGCATAAATGGTTGCATTTCTTCTTCGTGAGAAGAATCACATGGATCTCTATATAGTTGCCTCAAGTTGTAAACCACTTCAGTCCATGGGAAAACAAACCCCCAGCAGACGAAGAAGAATGGGACAAATTCTGGAGGTGTTGGGTAAAGGTAAAGTGGATGATTATGGATACAAAGTATTCGAAGAGGAATATTAGAAAATACCCCTTGGATAATAGGCTGTGTGAATATCTTTGCACTAGTTGGCTGGGCTGGTGGAGACCAGTTAAGCACAGCTGGTCATATTCTCCAAATTCTTACAGTTTCAGAAAAATCATTAGTGTTATGTAATTGGGAGCCCTAAAAAAAATATCCCGAATCTTGGTCATGGTCCATGGATATGAATTTGGTTACAGCTTTGTGGTGAAAGTTTGGGGCTTGAGAAAATGGCATTTTGAAACATCCTGGTCACTGCAATAGATATATCTGCTTGGTTTTAGAATGTGCTTATGATAGTTTATAGAAAGAGTTTTCCATATTATATGTACTTCGTGAATGTGTGGGTGTTATGGACTATTGAAAGATCTAATAGCCTTGTTATGGTTCCATAAGAAAAGAAGTGCCATTTCTTTTTAGTTTTTCTTTCTATCTTGAAGGGTATGCAATCGAAGAGTCTATTTGGTGTTGTCCATGTATCTCAATCAACTAGCGACCAGTAGATCAATTATTGGAGCAGGGAGTGTCTTATTTGTTCTTGGTAGCAGGGAGTGTCTTGCATGTTTCGGGCATTCGCTGTCTAAATTGGCTGGCCTAATTGTTTGTCTCTCAGTTAGGCAACTAACTGGAACCCTAATTTAGAACTGAACTTGGACTGGATTGGGTGGCAGTGGGATGTGTGTAGGTTTGCATCACATCTGTGTCAGGACTTCTGAAGTGATTTAAACAATTCATCCATGGTGTTCCCTCCACTCACATAACTGCTTCTCATTTAGTGGCAGGGCATGGAATGTATTTAATTGTATGCAACACACAAACTACTTGCATGATAAGATATGTATTCACAATGATTCTAATTTCAGCAGCTTTTGCTCTTTATGACTCAATTATGAAATTCTACAACTGACAGCTTGGTGTTATTTCCCCTATGATTAATTCCCTTTTCTTTTCCCTTAACCAGAGGCGGCGTTTAATAACTCATGCAAATGCAAAGAGCAAAAGCGAGAAATTTCCTCCTCCGCACCAAGACGGGACACTTGGTTATCCATTGGGCTCTTCACATCACATTGATCCGGTTTTTGATCCGCCTGATGTACCATTCAGTACCACAAATTTCTCATATTCAAAAGCACCTATCCAGACTTGGTCTGGGCCATTGGTGGATCCAGCGGCAGTTGGTGCTCCAAAAAGAAAGAAACAGAGAGAGAAAAATTCTGCTCGGGTTAAAGAGAAAGACAGCATGTAATATATTATAATTCCTGTTATTGTGAGATATTCGTGAGGCTGCAAAAGCTGATGGTGCAGTCCTTGTTTCCATTCCGGGAAAGCCAAGCAAATTGCAAGGAGAGGTAAAATAACGTTATATTCTTTTTTCTTGTCTCTTGTTCCATTATTTTGTATGCTGAGAAACTTCTCTAGTATTGTATATGTCTTTTTTTGTTATTTTTTTTTTATTAGAATAATTCTATTTAGGTTAGTTGAATGATTAATGAATTTGTATTGAGAACTCATTTTGTATTTCGAGTATTTACTCTAATGTTGCTAATTTTTGAGGTTTACCTATATATTATGAGCTAAGTTAGTCACTGTCCTGGCGTTTTGTTTGCTTCAGCAGTTTCTCTATATTCCTGTGTAATTAGTACATTGAAGCTAGGCATTGTTGCTTTAACTGTCATTCATTCCAACTCTGCAATGAGTGCACCACAGTGTTTAGCTGGATACCAATTTTAATTCTTTCAATCTTTTGCCAGACTTTGGTCCAACAAGCCATTCTGTTGAGTTTATTGTGACAGTGCTCCCATGATTTATGGGGCGGATTTGCCTGATATATAAATGCAATAAACCGAAACACTTTTTTTATTTTTTAGTTATTTCTTTCAGAGATGATGTCAATGCCAATAAGGAGCACCTAACGTATTTCTCTCTTCCTATTTTTAGCAGTTCAAATTATTTTTTGAATGATCTGAACGTGCACAGTTTGTAAGGGGGAACAGAAACCAGGCAAGATGATTGTGTTAGTTATACCACCCAGTAAAGAGTGGGATTTGAGACATAATAAGCAGAAAGGAGTTTGCTTTGGGTGCCGGAGCAACAGTATAAAGTCAAAGGATAATCTGGTACCAGCTACGATTCCAGAACCAACACAACACGAGAAAACAAGTACCAACCTTCGGTATCTAGAAGAAAAATGTTTTGCCTTCATTTAGTAATTTACTGCACTGCAAGAATGTGAGATGGTCCGCGTTTATTCCTCTTCTAGTTTCAACATGCTAATATTTCAACAGCAATATCACATCAACCACAGTGGAAGTGCCTATCCACCAGCATTAAGCCAATTGTTCAATATATATATATATATATATATATATGCAGCTTTAAGCCATTAAAAGCAGAATCTTCCTGTGCTTTCTGTTTTTGCTTCTTTTTTTCACCCTTTCTTCTTTACTCTACGAAAGAGCAAGGCAAAATTTACCATGCCTTAGCATGTTCCTGAAGAAGGGTAGGTTGCAAATTAGTAGTAGCTGGCTAGGTTGGTAGGCATGTTTTGTAGTTAGAAGAAGCTGGTGGTAGAATTTGCTTTACTCCTTCCTGTCCGATGTGAACCATCAAATATGTGCTTCACTGGGTGCCTTAAATTTAAATCTCCATATATATATATAATTCAAGTGGCTTTGGCCCAAACTCACAAAAAAAAAAAAAAAAAAAAAAAAAAAAAAAAAAAAAAACCTGAACTGCTGAACCCATATCCAACTTCCCATATGCAAATTTACATTCTGAAGAATAATTGTAGCACTTGTGCAACTACCACTTAGAGAGCTGAATGAGATAACCCGACCTGGCGGACCAGGAGGGCCTCCTCGTGGAGGGGGTCCTCCTGGTCCTGAAGGACCTGGACCAGGATGGGGTCCTCCAGCTGAGGGGCCTGGACCTATTTTTGTAGGTGGTTTCTTCAATGGCTTGTGCAATGCCATCTCATCATGGTCAGTAAAATTCTTATAATCTTTAATCTTTATTGTTATCTCTCTACTAATAACTTGTATTGATTAATTTCACAATGAGGCAAAAAAAAACCTATGAAAACCTGGTGTTACTATTATGATGATTGTTTCTTGCAGCTTCTACGTCTTGTGCTGTTGCTGGTTGATACGGGATTGCTTTGAGGGTCCACCTGGGCCTCCAGATCCTCTAGGTTTTGGGGGGCCATCAGGCCCGCCGGCTCCTCCTCCACCTCCACCTACACCTCTTGCTCCTCTTCCACCTCCCCCACCTGGGCCAGAAGGAGGCCCGCCTGGTCCACCAGGACCCCCACCTCCTTAATTACTACTTCGTTTTTCACGAATCATTAGCTTCTAACTCTCCCATTACGAAGGTGGGGTTGCATGAACTTGAATAATTACTACGTACTGGCGTGTCAATTTCTACTTGAGATTCATCAATGTGATGTGGAAAGTAGTGTATTATTAGTGTTTAAGGAATCACCTAGTATTTTGCTGGTGTTATAGTAAATAGAGACCATTTGAATTGAGAGCTTAAATGATTCTTGTCTCGTGCCTTGTAAAGATAATAATGGCATCGAAGGTTATTATTCACATGTCATGCCACTAGAGCTCATTTGTGTGTTTCCCATAATTTACAGAAACTTATTATTCACAACCGCTTACTACCATTTACACAAGTTTTGTGTGTGTATAAATAAATAAATAAAAATTTAATAAAAATAATTATTAATAAAAAAACTAAACACAGCTTTAAGATAGTATTAATTATCGTATCATGCACAAAATAAATGAAATATCAAGTAATAATCAATTCATTTGCAATTTGATATCGCAAATTAATCATAAAATGTTTGAACGACTTCATGCTTGCACCCTCCTCGGATGAATGATAATTTTACAACAATATTTAATGTTTGATGCATCACATAATTACCATCAAATTGTTCAAAAAAGTTATCGATAACAATTTTTCTTTGAATATAATTATGTATTGTAACACATGCAACAACAATATCTCTCTAAACTACAAATGGATATAGGACCATTGTCTTTAGGATTGGAAACTTTGTTTTTTAGAACACCAAATGCTTGTTTAATAGCATTTCTTAATTTTGCATGTGCATGATTAAATGCTTCCTTTTTTTTTTTTTTTATCTTAGATGAGGATCATTGTGAAAATCGAATAACCAATATCATGTATTACGATATGATGCCATAAACCCTCCAAGTATGTGTATATGCGAGCATCACAAAGATAATATTTATTTGCCATCAAATATTAATCTAATAAATTGCATGGAAAATGTAAAAATTATTGACATAATACACCTAGTAATAACGTCAAAAAAAAAAACTTGAGGGAATTACCTATAAAAAGAATTTAATAAGACTAGAAACAACCTATCGAGTGGAGGGATGGAAAAATTATTTGACGAGTCACACATAGTTTTTGTTAATACTCTTAACTCATGTGCTACACCTTCCCATCCAGCTCAAACAAAAGTAAAAATCATGTCCAAATCACATATCGTAAGAATAGTTTGATAACAATCTCCTCATCCTCTCCCTCTATATGGGACTTGTTGGTCAAATGATCCGACAACATGAATTAAAGTCCCATCAAGGGCACCTACAACACCCTATAAATAAATAAATAAGATTAGTTAATTTTAAAATACACAAACCAATAAAATTAGAAATAGAAAGTTAAATGTATAAGTTGAAATACTTGGCGAAGTTGATGATGATGTTGAACTTGACTTAAATTTGGGTAAAATGTGATAAGTACAACCATTTATCTTGCAAACTTTAATATTGCTTGCAACACTTCATGAAAATAGTGATGCACTATTTGAGTTGAATGATTAAATCTTCGTTTCATAGCACGAGTTTCGAAAATTTTGACTTACGGTTATCAAAAACATTGCCCACATCGGATAGGCCATTCTCCATTGCTCTAACAAACTTATCGAAGCAATTTTGAGTCTTTGTGGTCAATTCACGTAGCTCGTTAGGAAATGATTGAAATTGCTCATGAAGGGAAGAAAATGTTTCAACTCTTTCTTAACATTATTATAAAGTTTTACCGAGCTTAGTCTTTGCAACCCCTTGCAAGTAAAAAAATGTTTCTTAATAGGCTCACTGTTAGGTAGGTAGTATCCAAATACATAACTCCACCTGTAGGACTCATCCGCATTCAATTACTTGTTCCCATGCTTTTGTTATCATCCCAAAGCTGGTCGAATAATTTTCTTTCTTAGATTCATGATAATTTACAATGACTATTTCTTTTGATCTTTGATGGGCAACCTAATGCTTACGATAATGTTTGTTATACTCATCTCTAGATTCCTTGAAGTAATTCATTCCCTTTGTTATAATTACATTTCCCCTGTAAACATTACAATCCCGATGATTCTTAAATGGACCATGGCATGACTAGCAAAACTTATGCTAGCATTGCTCGCATGTAATGTGCATACACCCACTAACCTTTTTAGTTCTTTGCTCGCACTTGGCGTTGGGACACAACTTGTAATCGAGTGGTCCATAAATTTTTTGGTCCCTAAACTCCAAAGTCCACCTTTTTAACAATATTACAATCAACAAGATGATGACTTTCCTCACTATAATTCTAGCAAAATCTAGAACCACAATCGTAGGTGACATCAAAGCATCCACGATCACTAAAAAATTCAATAACATACTTACAGTCTTGACCAAAGAACCACTTTGTCTTCCTATTCTCTTCACTATAAAACCCGACAAGGTGATCGAATACTTTTTCGATCCTCTTTAGACACCAAAGGTTCGATCATGTCTTGACCGATAACGGCATGATAAGCAAGGCACCTCGACGATAAAACACCCAAAACTATCACTATTAATTAATGTGCTAATGTAACTAGACTAGCATATGTTACAATAAGAATGTCCACATGAAGTTGAGCTAATTCGTTAGAGAAGTAGGATCCAACACAAATTTCACAAGTAATAATTTTTAGTCTCATTAGGACGGACATTATCATCGGTCACTACCTTTTTCTTCATTAATCCTACTTTTTCACGAACCCCATCCTCATCGACAAACCATGTCTCATTAATTTTATTAACAAACCAATTATAATGACAGAATAAGACTTGCCTCGCTCTTTGATGCACAAAAGACAAAAGATACTTCGGCAATATCTTGTTCCATTTGACGATTAATATCCGCCTCCTTTAGGATTTTATAACCTCTATTTTCGTCTTGTTGAAATAATCACATAATGGAGAAGGTCTCCTTTGTTTTGGCAATAAGGATAGTAGAAATTGTTTTTCAATCGGTTTGTATAGTTAGGGTTATATGAGAGTTATATAATCATATTAAAAAGTTTTAAAAATATTTCAACCGAGCGTGTTAATAAAAAAAATTTAAGTTAAAACTTTAACTTATCTCATTAACTTATCTAATTAGGTAGATTTTGACTAAATTTAAATTTTAAATATGAGATTATTTAGATTATCAAATAAGATTTTTATATTAAATCCTGTAACTTAATTTTTTAAATTATTTAAAGAAGTTATCAAACACATCAACAAATCATTCAAAGCTTCTCTCTAGTTCAAACGACAATTACCAAAGGGACAATTACTTACCAAGGGAAAGAGAAAGGAAAAGAAGTCCGTATGCCGATTTTCATTAGTTGGCATGGCTTTAACGTGGCTTTTTAAGGGTCAATAAAGCGCAAGCAAACTGTGAAAAACTGGGCCAAACAATGGAGATTTCGCATCCTTCCTTGAACGAAAGAATATTCCAACAAAAATTTAGGTCACATCAAAAGAAACCCGGCCCTTAAAACCATTTGTAACCACGTTATTTGAATTATTATGGGCCCTTCTTAACGCATATGTAGCTTCCTTATCTGGCCTAACGTGAAAAGGTCAGAAACGAGGGGTTTTGCTTTAGGACTATTTTTTTGAATGATATGCTGAAGATTCAAATCTAAAAAAGTTAAGAAATAAGGCGTACATTATTGACCACCAAACTAATTTTTAAAAATCAAATAATTACTTTCGTTTTAACCATGTTGTAATTACAAGTACCATTAATAGATTGTAGCACGTAAATGATGAACCTAGCATAGCATTTTCTTTTTCATATTATATTTCGATTTTTTTTGTGTTGATTGTTATCATATTCTTATAACTCACCTAATTACTTAAGTTTTGAAATTGAAATAATTTTTTAATATCATGTAACTATCTTGTGATTAAGTGATTATAAATTCTATTCTTACTATCAATGTTTTCGAAAAAATTAAGCATAAAATAATATGAGTCCTTATAGATTTCAATTTCAAAAAGCTTTTCACTTGAGTATATGTGTTAGAATCATTTAATTCATATTTTAAAACCTCATATAACAATTTAAATTTTTATGTTTTTTAATACAATTTTCATGCATAAACATTGAATTCTTTCTTATCAAGTCTCGATAAATCCTTTTGTTGGATATATGCTTGAGGTCTAGTTTATGAGTGGCTTTAACATAACTTATTAGAAAAAAAATTAAAAAGGAAAAAAATTGAAGTTAAACAAAAAAATGACAATTGTAAAACTATAAAAGAAAGTTACTTTTCTTATTTTGTTTTTCCAATCTCGTGAGACATGCATATATAATAGAAACTATGGTTTTTTTTTTTTTAATTACAATTGTCAAAAAGAGCATTGAACAGAAAATAAATTAAGGATTTTTTAAATTCTTTTGATTGATTCCATAGAAAAAAAAGAATTTTTAGTGCATTAAAATATTAGAGTTTTTTTTTTTAGTATTGGTTTTTGGATACCAGGGCAACATAAAATTGTGGTATTCAAAGAATTTCACCTATTACAAATTTAGTTGAAAAAATAATTTATATTACTGTTAATATTTTCAAATTTATAAAGAAACTTAAGTTATTGTATTGATTCAGTGATTGTATTATTTTTTTAGTCATAGTACATTATTTTGAAGTTAATTTTGTGATTTTTTCTGTACCATAAAAAAGATTGTTTTTACATGAATTTAATTTTTTTTTTATGATTGTGATATTGTTATTGATTTATTTATATTCTTAATTATTATATATATTTGGTTTAATCACTTTTTAACAAATTTTAATTTATACTAAATCACTTTAAATTTCCAACACCTTCTATATCCATTTGTTTAAATCCAATCTCAAAATAACATTAGTAACATATATATATATATATATATATATATATATATATATATATATATATATATATATATATATATCAACATCATCCCCGAACGTTATGAATCCAACCTTTGAGAATGGAAAACTCAAAAATAAAATCTCAAATTTAGCCAAACAAGGTCATTTGTTTTCACACGATACCAAATATTCTTATCCACAAATTTAATTCCGTGCCTCCTTAAAATAATTGCCATTGTCGGCAATGGATGGCCAGAAGATCTGTTCTGACAGAGAAACAAACAAAAAACTGTCCTGGAAATGAGTCAGCAGCGAAACCATTAACCATTCAGTGAAACCCACATGTCATGCTCATTCCAATTCTTCATCATTGAATTCTTAGAAATAAAATAATAAGTGTATGGTCGTAGGCTTGAGGTGGCTCTCCGCCTTTCCACGTCAACACCAAGAAAATTATTTCTTACACCATCAAGTGTAGTTTAGTTATAATTATCCTCTAATAAACATTCTATTGATGTATCAAATACTGGACATATTCTGATGCTTCTTCCTCATTTCATAAAATTGATTTATTTGTATTTGTTAAGTAATGATGAAAATGTTATTTAACTTTTCGAAACAAAAAAGGATTGGTACAATCTTTTATCCAAAATCCAGGAGGAGATAAAGGATGAAGGAAACATTTAAAAGTGGAATACGTAACGGAGGGTCTAATCTTTCATTTTTTTTGTATTCCTCTTGCTTTTTCTTACGAACCAAGATTGTGCCTTATCTTATTGTACGATTATGATCTATTCCAACGATGTAAAACCACGACCTATCTATACTTTACACGCACGAACCTTTTACTGTTCAGTAAAAAGAGTTGATTGATCCTGCTTAATTAAGCTAATCAGGATAATTGAACTAAATGCCACAATTTGTGGAGGATAAGGTTTTCTGTAACGAAATTATGGGAGGCGCCGGCCGTTTGGATAGATAGCTTTGCCAGCTCATCAATATCCAAATTAAGTAAGTAATACTTGTAATCTAAAGTTAGCTAATTAATATTTTTAAGGATGTGCGTGGACATGAGTCACGGATTCATTGGAGGCCTTATCCATCATTTCTTTTTTCATTTCGACATTTATTATATGTTCCTTTCTAAGGGAGCAAATGGGCTCCTAAATCAATGATTTATGTATTTTTTTTGGGTTTAAATACTGTTGACCATTCAAAGAAGGTCTTCATACACTACATATATATATATATATATATATATATATATTTTTAAAACCATGGTCTATATATAATATAGCTTCAAGACTAATTATCTATTTTTTTCATGAAAAATTGTACATTCAAAGTTCAAAAAATTACAAGCATGGAACAAATTATAAGGGAAATATCTAGATATAAAAAAACATTTTGAGTATGGTAAAATTCTTTATTGACGAGGGTAGTAGTAATAATTAAAAAAAAAAGAAAGAAGCACCAAAAAAGTGTTTATTTATGAGGCTGAAAATTGGAGATCACCGAAGACAGACACGTGCCAGGTGCTTTTGGTGGCATTTGTCCTTCGATTAGTCCCATAAAAAGCGCGTTCCTCCTTCGCAAAGAACCCTCATTCTCCTTCGAACGCTAAAATTGACTCTTCCGTACTTCCTTCCATTTTGATTTTGCTTGCTTTGTTATAATCCATTTATCCAAATATCCCGATTTTCGCTCTACTTTTCCCATTCCTTATCTTCTCAACTGCAAAACCCATTCCTTTCTTTCTCTGCAACTGCTTGCTTTTATTATCATCATCATCATTATTATTAAAGTTTTCATTTTTTTATAGTGGATATGGAGGTTTTAGTGATTGGAAGTTCTTCCCAGGCAAAAATTTGTACTGGTAGAAGTGAACTATTGTCCTACAGAAGGCTAAGCTTTTGTAAATTTCAAAAAAGTGTTTCTTTTTTGCATAACAAAAGTACAAGGTGGAGAAATTCTGGTTCTAGCCTTAGCTTTACTTTAAACGCTGTCCAATCTTCCCCTGTCAGATCCGACAGTCTTACGCGTCGTGGGTCTTCTACGAAACCCAAATCGGTAAGATTTACAAAACCCAAGTTTTCTTGTTCTATATATTTCTGTTTGTTCTTATTGTTTTAACTGAAGATTTTTAAATGTTTTTGGTTTCGCATAGGAAATGAAATCTTTTATTTTGATACAGTTAATTAGCGGATAATTTTCAGGTTTTGTAGATAATTTGACTCGCCTACAATTTAAGATATGAGTTGTGGGAAATTCTACGTTATGGTCCCATTTTTTGTTGCTGAATTATATGCAAAATTATGAAAAAAATAAAGGACTTTTCTTTGACCGGGATTGATGATATTATTATTGCAATAATAATGAAATCAGTTTTGACAACAAGGTATGATTCCCGTTGCAGGTAGAAATTGAAATTTTCCTGAATTTTCGTTCAAGTTAATCCTTGAAACAATCTGGAATATGAATTGTTAAAAAAATGCTTGTTTACTCAGCATTAGTTCAAATTCTTCCTTTTATTGGCATTAGTTTAAATACTTCTTTGTATTGGTACTTGAGGATTTATGATTTATCATTGCAATATCCATGCTTGTTGACTGTAAGGATGTTAAAATAATGTTCTCTTGCAATCTTGTTATGTAGCTTGATGGTGTAAGATTATTCGTTGGGCTGCCGTTGGATGCAGTTTCTGTATGCAATACAGTAAACCATGCTCGAGCGATTGCAGCGGGACTTAGAGCTTTGAAGTTATTAGGTGTTGAAGGTGTGGAGTTGCCAGTGTGGTGGGGAATAGTTGAGAAGGAATCAATGGGGAAGTATGACTGGTCGGGCTACCTTGCGCTTGCAGAGATGGTTCAGAATGCAGGCCTTAAGCTCCATATGTCGCTCAACTTCCATGGGATTAAACAACTGAAAATCCCCCTTCCTGAGTGGGTATCCCAGATAGGTGATTCGGATCCGAGTATCTTCCATGCAGATAGGTCAGGGGATCATTACAGAGAGTGCTTGTCATTGGCTGTTGATGAAATTCCAGTTCTTAATGGGAAGACCCCAATCCAAGTTTATCAGGAATTTTGTGAAAGTTTCAAGGCTTCGTTCTCACATTTCTTGGGTTCCACAATTACAGTAAGTTCTGATTTTTTAACACTATGGTTAAACACAATTGATTAGGATTCGGTGCATTGATGACCAATGGCTAATATATGTCTGCTTTTGCAGGGCGTCACGATGGGTCTTGGACCAGATGGGGAGCTAAGATATCCTTCTCAACGTCATCTTGCAAGAAATAGCAAAATCCTTGGAGTTGGAGAGTTCCAATGTTATGATAAAAACATGCTTAACCTTCTTAAGCAACAAGCTGAAGCGACCGGAAACCCATTATGGGGACTTGGCGGTCCTCATGATGCACCCAGCTATGACCAGTTCCCAAACTCAAGCAACTTCTTCAACGACCATGGGGGATCATGGGAGACCCCATATGGCGACTTCTTCCTTTCCTGGTATTCAAGCGAGCTCTTGTCTCATGGAGATCGTCTTCTCTCTCTTGCCTCTACTACTTTCGATGAAGCTGCTGTAACAATTCATGGAAAAATCCCCCTCTTGTATTCTTGGTACAAAACACGCTCACACCCTCTTGAACTAACAGCTGGCTTCTATAACACAGTCAACAGAGACGGCTATGAAGCTGTTGCAGAGATGTTTGCTAGGAATTCAAGCAAAATTATCCTGCCAGGAATGGACTTGTCAGATAAGCATCAGCCTCAGAAGTCCCTGTCGAGCCCAGAGTCAATACTGGCACAAATTAGAACAGTTTGCAGAAAGCACGGGGTTGAGATTTCTGGGCAGAACTTAATGGTTTCTAAATCTTCCCAGGGGTTCGAGCAGATAAAGAAAAATATATCCGGTGAAACTAAGGTTGACTTGTTCACTTATCAGAGAATGGGAGCTGACTTTTTCTCACCAGAGCATTTCCATTCATTCACCCATTTTGTCCGAAACCTCAATCAACTTGAATTGCTTTCAGATGATCTGCCTGAGGAAGAGGACGTTGCTGAACCTGTACATTTGAATTCAGAATCAAAGACCCACATGCAAGCAGCTTAGTTAGAAGTTTGGATTGGGACATGATAATATGTAAATATGAGATTTTATATCTAGTACCAGTGTCTGAAAATACATGTATTAGACGAAGCATGCTAGAATTAATAGCCATCACTCGTGCACTATTCTACTTGGCACTTGGCAGTTTACTTGAAATTTTTGCAGTACTAAAGTTACTAAGCATGGTGATGTAATTGAGCTTGATCAAGGAAAGTGAGAAGATCCCATGATCATGGAAACGACCAATGGAGTTAAACCTACTCGGGAGTCGTAAAATTTGTTTCATCTTACGTGGTGTAGTGCAGAAGATAAACACGTTCTACCTCGGTTGTTTTGAAGTTTTAGCTCGTAAAATCAGCTTCAAAATTTGAGTTTTATCAGGCGTGCTTCCACCATAACTATCATTGTTAGTCCATCTACTAATTCGTATTGGTTCAAAGAGCCTGTATGGGGTTTATTTATTAGTAATAATAATAAAAAGAATTTTTTTTATTAATTTGACCGTAATTGTATTTACGAATCACCAAGTCTTTTTTTAAGAAATTTAGAAGAATTTAATTCTTTTTAAGTACCAGTCTTAAAATTTGAATTCAAAAAATTTTAAAAAGAAAACAATGTTTTTTTAGCCATCAAATCTTCTGAGCCACCAGGTGAATCGTTTAATGTTGTTAGGAGTGAGAAACTAAATTTAGGGCTTCTAAGGTAAGACTTTACAGAGAACGCTGTAAAAACCTTCCCCATCTGTCTTATCGGTTTGAATAGCCGAATGACAATAATTTGTTCTATGGGCTTTGCAGGGGACTAAAAATTATGCATGGGATTATGAAAATTTGAGTGTTAAATTTGGTAATTGGGCTGGTCTGGACGGATTTGCGCCGAGTCAAGTCATTCATGTTTGAATTGTTTTACCCTATGTTTGGATAATTCCTCTTGGGAGGAAAGAAAAGAGAGGAAAGAAAGTGAGAGAAAAAAAAAGGAGGAAAGAAAATCATTTTACACTTGTTGTTTGGATAAGAGTGGAAAGGAAAGGAAAGAAAATACATTTCTCTTGTTTGGATAATTATAAAAAGAGGAAGGAAAGAAATATATTATTGTATATTTACTATAATACCCATATAATTATATTTTTATATTTAAATAATTATAATAAATTTGTATAAATAAAATTGTATGAATATTTTTTGTTATTAAAATTACACAAATGATAATAAAATAAAAATCTGGCTTGTAGCATATATCCGAAATGACAATATGGATGATAATCGTCTCAATAGAATAATCGATAATCGTTTACTTAATTAATTATTTCAATAGCCAATTTAGATTAATTATCAATATAAAATTAATTTAAATATATATAACATGTATTATTATCTACGTATATAATAAGTTCGTTGCTTTTACTTATTATTTCCTCAGCTTTTTTTTTTTTTTTAATTTGGATTAAAAAAATTATTATTTAGCAATAAAAAAAATTATTGTAACATTGCGAATAATAAATCACAAAAAATGTACATTTTAGCTTAGTTTAATTTTTTTAAAAAAATATTAAAACTTATTTAAAAGGTTACGTGATTAGCCTAGTTTAATTACCAATTAAATGTACATTTTAGAAATAAACAAAATTTAGGAAGACGTGCAGTGGAGATGTAGCTTCCAGAGTAAGCTTTGAGTCCATGAATGTGAATGGTCCAATAGAAACTCATAAAGTCATGTTGCTAGTTCAAAAATAATCATTCATGCTATTCGCTTTTTTACCTCCCTAGGCCTTAACTTCCCCTTCTCTCTGTCTCTGCAAAAAACCATTGCCCACTGGATCGAATTTTTCAATGGAGAAACCAAAAGAAACCATTGTTGAAGAAAGAAAGGAATTTATGGTTTCACTCATCAGCAATGCAAAACCAACACTAAGAACAACCCATTTTCTCAAGCCCTCAATTACCACCTCCATTGGTGAAAACACTCATAAACACCCTTTACACTCTAGTTATTTTTTTGCCGTCACCAATTGAACCCAAAATTAGGCCTTGGGCAAAAAATGGAGCTGGAATGGTAAGGGGATGAGGCAGGAAGGTTGGTGGAGCACTCAGCGCTTTCGCTTGTCGCTCTAGGTTCTCCTTTTCTGTCTTTAGCCTTTGTTTCTTGTCACGAAGCTCATTCTTCTTTGCCTACATATAAAAAGTTTAATGAAGATAAATGACAGCAGCACTTGTCGAGTTTCCTTTCCATCATCATTGATAATAACATGTGCAGTAATGGATCCAGGAAATTATATTCATATCTTATGGATGAAGAGCCAGATCTGTTTTGCAGATCTGTGTTTGTTGTTAGTGGAGAGTAGAGAAGGAGGGAGTCGGCTGGGGCAAGGGTAAAAACGTGAATGGAAAAAAAAACTGTCAAGCATCACGGTTTTCTCCCCGTTTCCTCCCATGGGAGGAAAATGGGTCCCACCAAAAAGATATTTGTTTAATATTTATTTTTTCTTTCCTCTGGTTTCCTCTACAATCCAAACAGGGGAAAATTTTCATTTTCACCTCATTTTCTTTCCTCTCCGCTGCTTTCATCCCTATCCAAACAAGGGGTTAGGTTTGAATTATAGTTTGGATCATTACATATTCCTTATCTTAAATTATAAGATCTGGACAGTGTCAAGTCAACAAACATATTTGAGTTTTTTTTTTAAATAATAATTAAAAAAAAAAACAACCATTGTTTGGTGTACTCAATCACAGTGCGTTCTACGATAGACTAAGAATATGCTGCAGTGTTCGTGCACACCTAAATACATTGTGTATTTTCACCCTTTGGTGGCCCTTTTGCATTTCAAGGCTCTCTTTTTTGGCACTTATGTGAGAGTATTTTCAAAATCTTAAACTTTGGTCCCTTATTTTTATGAGACTTTTGTTTTGATTTTAAATTTTATTTGTATTGTAGTCTAGTTTCTAGTTGCTGAAAGGAGAGATAAACGACAGTAAAAATGAGAGAGAAACGACGGTAAAGAAGGAAGAAAAGAGAAATGGATAACAAAGCCCACTCCGACCACTTTAACTTTTGAAATTACCTTCAATTGGTTCATCTTGGAGAGAAGAGTTTGTATATGGTGGCAAAAAGTCATGAAATTATTGAAGGAGGTAGATTGAGACCTCAAAATATTTAGAGTTCCTGAGTTTGATTTAAATTTTTGTGTTTTGTATGCTTTAAAATGATTTTTAAGTCTTTAAAGGAGTTTATTAACTTTATTTTTTTATTTTTTATTACCAAAATGGTGATGAATTTGGATTAGAGAGGCCGAAAAATGCAAACCCTTTTTTCCAACAAAGTTTTCAATGAATGAGAGTTGGTCGGAGTGTGCAGTCTTAAAACACATCGTTTGTTGTACAAGGAGCGAATCACATGTCATCTATTTTTATTTATTTTTTTAAAATTGGCTTGTGCAGGCAAGAAACTAGGCCCCCACATAGGCCTAGGGCCTAGTTCTCTAAGGCTGAATGCATATGCTTGTGCCTTAGTTGGATATTTTTCAATATTTTATTTTTTTATTAAGGATTTTTAGGCAAAACTTATGAAAGATTGAATATTATTTTTTTATTTTTTCTACACAACATGAAGAGGATGAAATATATCTAATATCTTTTAATATTTTAAAATAAATATATATTTCATATTATATTTTTTTATTATTTGAAATTTATTCCTTCAATTTTTCATTTCTAATGAAAATTATCATACAATTAATTTTTTATTTTTTTTAATAAAATTTGATTTACTAATAAATATGATTTATTTTTCTTTATATATGAATTTTGAAATAAAATTTTAGAACATAAATTTTTTTCTTTTTTTTTTAAATAAATTAATATAATTTATACCATAGATTCTTAGAATTTTTAAATGATAACTCGCATGATTATATATATATATATAATGCAGCTATCATTTATTGATCTTTATAATTATGGGTTTAAGCCTTGTAATGTCATCCGAGCTTACTTGCTCTCATGGCCACTTTTGAAAAAGCCAACCAAACGAACCAAACAAATCAAAGAAATCTTGAAATGCTTAGAGGTTTGATTTTTTTATTTTTTTTATGCTTAAGAATTGTTAATCCTTGATTTTTACCTCAATTAATTTCTTAATTTTTGGCAAAAAATATATACGAAAAAAAGAATTAATAAAAAAAGAAGAGTGAAAATAAAAAAAGGAAGCAAAATGAGTGAAGGAAAAGAGGAAGAAGAAGAAAATAAAAATATGAGGACTATCAATTTAATTTTTGGCTATCCTAAATGATTTTAATTAGGCTTAATCTTACTTTAGGATAGCCTAATCCAACTTAGAGGCTAAGTCACTCCTAATAGCGATTAAGACTAATTAAGTTAGGGTATAAATGCCATAAAAAATCAAAAAAAGAAGGAACCATAAAAAAAAAGAGAAAAGAATCGAGAAAATATGACAAGAAAGAGAGAGAGAGAGAGAGACATCTCTCTCACTCTCAAACTCGTAGGTTGACACTGCGGACCCACCACCCTTCCTCTCCCCAAAACACCACCCCCAGCCTAATATAGCCTTCAACAACCACCCCCTTTTTAGATCGACTATTCCTAACTAGTTGGAGAGGAGGAAGACATCATAGGAGGTAAGAAAATGAGGGAAGAGCCACGGTGCCTAACCCATTTACCCCATTTGGGTTTCAATGTTTCTTGGACAAATCAATAGATGCCACCACTAAAGAAACATCCTTTACCCTCTTAGAAGCCTTTCCCCTTAAAATCCTAACAAAACTTCATCAAAATCGGCTAAATTGAAGCAAAAACCATTCCACAACTCGTTTTGAAGACCCATTCTAATTACCGATCCGAGTCGAATCGGACCTCCAAACCTCTAGAGAAAATTTCCTCATGGTCTTCCGAGTCGATTGGTGTCCTCCCCGGTCCTTGACTATTGGCGGTAGATTCTAGGGTTTCAAGGTCATTTTGGTAATTTTGCTAGAAGCATGTGCCACATGA